TCGCGTCGTCTCGCACCGCCAGGTGTATGAGGGCCTGGAGTTCAAGCTGCGGCTCGACTTCTCCAACAACTACCCGTTCTCGGCGCCGGTGGTTCGCTTCACGTCGCCCTGCTTCCACCCGAACGTCGACACGCAGGGCAACATCTGCCTCGACATCCTCAAGGAGAAGTGGTCGGCCTCCTACGACGTGCGCGCGCTGCTGCTCTCCATACAGAGTCTGCTCGGAGGTGAGCGGCGAGCGGGCGCGCTCTCGCTGACGTCAGCGCGACGGGGTGTTGTTCAACAGTCACGGCGTGGTCGCAAGTCAGTGTGCCGACGTCTGGCAAGGTTACAGCGGTACCGGGTGGCGCTTCGACGCCAGCGCGTTGGGATCCGCCTTCTGGTTACAGTTACGATGATGTCATTTTATGCGGTGACTGGGATTCGCCGTAGTAAGCGCGCCAGTAAACCTGACTGCCCGCGCGCCCGCGCCGGCTGGCAGACCAGCGAGTGCCGCCTGACCAGAGCGCCGCGTGCGCCACCGTCCCACTCACAGGCCGTCTCGACCTGTCGTTTCCAGAGCCGAACAAACAACAGCCCGCTGACGTGCAGGCGGGCCGACATGTGGAGCGACCCCACGCGCTTCCGCGAGAACGTGCTGGAGCGGTGTGCCAGCTGTGTGGCGCCACCCGTGAGCCGCGACTGCCGCTCTAGGTACCAGTGGGCCATCTCAACCCCATCCCCTCCCTCCCCTGTTCGGTGACCCACCGACGGGGGCGAGCTCGTGAGGCCGCGGCTCCGGCCTGCGGCAGCGGCGGCTGAGTCCAGATTAGTACCACTGCTCAGTCACAGTGTGCTGGCGCCAACCTGCGGGGGATGACTCCACCGGGAATCTTCGTGCTCTGATGTAATACTCCGCATTGGTTTTGATGCAGGAGCTTCGTCCGTCTTCGTTTCATCGCTAAATAGACCATATGAGTTGACGTAGTCATCGGGCGTACGTAACGTGTCTGTCGCGTGGATTTGGTTTGAGAGGCACGAGGGCGTGTTTTTGGTGGTGTGGTGCTGGAGTTAAGCTTGTAACCGATTCCGGCACTAGGTTAGCTCATGGTACAAGCGCGCTCGAATCAAATGCACGCGACGTCTGACATTTGGAGATGGGCCAGGGAACTGCATGTGTGCATAAATGAACATCTAGCGGCGAATTTGGTTGTCGTACTTCATTTCTTCCTAGCGCCCTACTGACGATGCTGTGCTGCTGACTCCAAACACCGTGTTGGGCTTCGTGAAACATTTTGTGCGCGGTCTGGTTTCTCACGGGCTCCTCGAAACATCTTACCGCTTTTTGTAATAGATGCTGTCGATCTGAATCGGACCTCCAGCCTGCGTGCCCCACATGTCCTGGGCCGTCTCAGCCGTCTGCTGTCTTCAATAAACAGAGTACTGTGGGCTCAGCTTCCGTCCCAGAGTCAGCGAGGTGGTCGGGCTCAGCCCCGTCCCGGAGTCGGCGATGTGGTTGGGCTCAGCTCCCGTCCCGGAGTCAGCGATGTGGTCGGCGCCAGCAGCATCCGACGCCGGCGCGCGCCGCGCGGCCTAGTGTATACCATCGTAACGGCTTCCTGGCAGACTCAGTAAAAGCGCTCAACGCTCGGACCGCACAGCGACTGCACTGGGGTGAGGTTCTGTTATCTCCAGCTGTGACGGTCAGCTTCTTATTGCCGTCCATGTCTTACAGCGGCCGTGGTCTGATCAGCAAGCCAGATGACCTCGAGTGGGTCGAACACAGGCGAGCAGGGCAGCACAAGACGAAAGCGTACTTTCCGTAAAACAGACCGGGGCAAGCGGACACGCGTCGGCTTCATTGGTACTACTACGGCCATCCAGGGTAGTGCCAAAGAGGGTTAGGTCTCAGGCAAACCAAGCACGAAGTATCGTTGTTCAGAAACACACGAATGACAAAAACATCACGCGATGAAACACTACCCACGAAAACACCATGCGATGAATACTTTATTCAGTATATCCAACTCTGGTCATTGCTCATAAACTGAGACGAAAGAACAAAGCAGCTACCACTTTGGGTTGCTATAACCGGACCATTATAAGCCCGCGGACGCGTCTTATCACCTACGTCTTCTAGTGCGTAACAACAAGTGTGCGCAGTCTGTGGGCTGAAAGGCCGTGCGCAACTACTCTTAGCTGGCTGCTGTGCGCAGTTTAACGACAGCTGTGCGCGGTCTGCTGACACCTGTGCGCAGTTTGCTTATGACCAACCGCGGCTCGCGGACGGAACGCACTCACGGCGGTGTTTTGGACACGCTGTCCAATGGCCGGGGTCCTCTCCAACGCCGCGAATCAATAGGCCGCCATCCACCACCCTGTCCGGGTGGGACGCGCGCCTCCCGCCGCTGGGGCCACGTCGGCGCCATTCTCCGGATGGGGTCGGTGCCTGTCGGCACCCGTCCGCGCCGCTCAGGGCCGCGGCGCCAGCCGCGCCGCCGCCGCCGCTGCCGCCACCAGCGGCCAGAGCAGCGGGCTGACGCCGTAACGCGTGCTGCTGCCGCCGCCGGTCACGTCGCTGTGCGGCAGCCACGCGTCGGCCGGTCGGCTCCTTTCCAGCTCGTCGGAGAAGTAGTTGCGGTAGTACCACTCGTTGGCGGCGTCGACCGCCGGCTGGGCGCGACCGCGCGCTGGCGCCGGCACCGCCAGGCTGTCGCCGAATGGCACCGTATTGCTCTCGGGCGCGCGCGCCGGCTCCGGCTCGGCGGGCCGCGGTCGCACCGGCACCGCCGCCGCCGCCGCGCCGCCGCCTGCCGGCGCGATGAACTGCGGCAGCGGGTAGCCGTCGTACGGCTGCACCATGGTGATGCTGGGACGGCCGCGCGGCTCGGCCGTCTCCGGCGCCGCGGTCGAGCTCGGCTCCCCGTCCTCGTCCTCGTCCTTGGCGTTGACGGCCAGCTCAGCTTTCAGGCGCGCCTCGTACGTCGTGTTGGCGGGCGTGTTCCAGTTGTGTTGGGGTGCGAACGTGTCAAGCTCGGGCGTCGCGCTCGGCTCCGTGGGGGCGGCGACGGGGTTCACCGGCGGCCGGTGCGAGGCCGGCGCTTGCTCGGTGGTGACGGCAGCGGGTGGTGTGGTGGTTTCGGCGCTTTCCGTGGCCGGCTCCGTGACGGTGTACTCGGTGGCCGCGTCGGTGGGCGCGACGGAGTCGTGCCGCGCCGTCTCCGTCGTCTCTCGCCCCGCCGTGTCGAACCAGTCGGCCAGCATGTCCGAGATTGGGTTGCCGGCTGTGGTCGTCTCTTCGCTGGCTGGCTCCGTGGTGTGGTACCAGAGCGGGCTGCCGTCGTCGGCCGGTGTGCTCGGTGCCGGCTCGGGCGGCGCCGTGCCGACCTCCTGCTGCTGGCCAACTGTGGTGCCGGCGTGGTGCGAGCCGCCGGCCGTCTGGTCATCGGTGCTCGGCGTGGTCTGCTCGGCGATCATCTGCAGCAGGCTGTCCAGGCTGAAGTCGCCCAGCTCGTCCTCGGCCGTCAGGTACGGATGCTCCGTTTCCGCCTCGGTCGAGGTGCTAGGCTCCCGCGCCGGCGTCGTGCTAGCCGGCGGCTCGGTGGCGCGCGCGCTCTCCTCCTCCAGCCGGCGGATCTCGTTGAGCAGCGCGTCCAGCGACATGGCGCCGCCGTCGGACGCCGGCGCCGGCTCCGTCCACGCATCCTGCAGGCCGAACGGCTCGCCGCTGGGCGCCGCCGCGTCGGCCCGCTCCGTGGACGCCGCCTCGGTCACCGGCCAGAAGCCGACGGCGCCGGACGCGGCGCGCGGCGGCGCGGCCGGCGCCGGATCGAAGGGCGGACTCGGCACGAACGGCGCGTCCATCGGGATTGTCTCAGGCACAGAGGGCACCTCTGGCCGACGCGCCGGCGGCCGCCGCTCGCCGTCGAACACAACCGCGTTTAGGCTGCTGGCCGCGCCCGGGTTCAGCTGCGGGTCGGGGAACACGAACGCGTTCAGACCGTGCGGGTCGCCCGAGTCGTCGTGGCGGATATGGCCGTGCTTGGCCGGGATGAAGAGCTGCTCAGGCGGCACCGCCGGCGGCGAAGGCCGCGGCCGCTCGGCCGGCGGAGGGCCCTGCTTTGCTGGGCCAGCGCCGGGCGGCAGCAGCGCCGCCGCCGGCCGGCCGCGCTGCTCGTAGAAGTCAGGCCGCCGCTGCGGGTGGGGCGCCGCCGCGCCGGCTGGCCCGCCGCTGAAGCCGGCGCTCGAGTCGGGCCTGTACGGCGGCTTGTGCGGGTAAAGCCCTGGTGGCAGCGGCCCCTGCGCCCCACCGGCCAGGCCGGCGCGATCCGAGTTGCGGTTGGAGCTTCCCAGGCCGAACGTGAGCCCGAGCTTGGGCAGCAAAGTGCTGAGTGTGCCCAGTGTGCCGAGCGTGCCCAGGATACCGAGCGCGCTGGGTCCGCCGCCGCCGCTCCCGTCTGTCTGCTTCTGCGTCGAGTTGGCCCGCTTGATGGAGCCGACGTAGATGGTGGGCGTGTCGCCGGCCGTGTGGTCTGGGTCGGCGCCGGCCAGCGGCGTGGTGGCTGTCGGCGGCGGTATTTGCGCCGTCGTCTGCGCCGCCAGCGCCGGCGCCGCCCGCTCCGTGGTCACCTCCGGCGGCGGCGCCACCTCGGCCAACGACGGCTCGGCAGACTGCAGCGAGCCGATCGCGTTCGCCGAGTCTGCCACACAAGGGAACAGTCGGTTTGGTTCGGCGAAATGGTGAGAAACCAACACGATCGACATTGGCTTCGAGCCAAAATCGAGATCCGAGATCGTACCGCCGCGAGCCCCGGAATGGAGACTAAGAAGGGAGCCATGCGCACCGCACCTGGAGCATTGACGCTTGGGAAGTCTCATTGGACACGAGTGAACTGTTTTTGGGAGGATTTTTCTGCCCATCATATTCTGAGCAGCTTTGTCGTGACTTCTGTGACTTGAAGGACCCCAAGCCAAACGTGGTTCACTCGCACGCAGATCACACCTGGGTGCTGATCACGTTAATATTGGAATGTGCGGGCGGCTTCCTTGTTAAAACTAAATATTCTAGATTATCCTAGATAAAACTAGATAGTAAAGCCTTGAGCATACAGCTTCTATGGCTGCTAATTGATGTCTGATGGTAAAAGGGTGCACCTCAGCACGAGCGTAACGTACACCACAGGTTGAAGCTGACGGGATGCAAAACAGCTGGTCGTTGACTGGCATAAGTGACAATGCTGCCTGCCGAATGTGGTTGTCCTAGCAGTGGGTTAGCGCCAATGGCACGGGCGACAGTTTTGGGTTATGCCTCACGCGCGAGATACAGTCCCCTTACCGGCTGACTTCGATCGAAAAGGCAGTCGTTTGTGTTCAAGGCCATCACTGTACCAGATTGTACCATTTTGGGCCCTGTGAACGGGTTCCAAGGAGAAAGAGCGCAAAAGTATAGTACGCGCAGTGTACCAGCGTGTTGGCACGGATTTCCTTAAATTGGGCACCGTTCGATAGCCCTGGAGCCGGTCTCTCCAGCCAACGAATTTCGGCCGGTTAGTCACCGTTTCTGGCACTCGGAGGATCTCGAGTCCAAATCTTTGCACGCGCTTGTGGAGTGCGCGAACCGTACGCGGCTGCCGATCGCGAAAGCACGCACGCCGTAATGGGATTCATGTTGTCATCCGGGCTTGGGCCATTGACACCCTCCGCTCGACTTGTTACGTGAATTCTGCAGACGTTCGGCTGGCAGTGCCGGGCACGTGCCACGAGCTCGATTTTGAATATATTTTCAGAAAAGTTGCATTTTATTATGTTCGGCTCTTTCAGGAAGTGAAGGCTGAACACCGGGCGTGCCCGTAGGACGCTGCAGTCAGCATTTGCTTGGCGTGGCCATGGTCAACTTCCACTTCGCAGCTCGCATTCCATCAAAGCTCGCACAGGCACGCAACATTAAACCATGCGATGAAATTGTGAACTTTTGAGGATTTATCGGTTGGCCCATACTTGCAGCCTTGTGCATGGGTGCAGGCCAGACAAGGTAGGGACCAATGAGTTCAGGGTACCAAGCGTCTTCACGATCGGCTCGTACCGCGTCGGACTGGGCCTCACAGGGCGCCGCCTGCCGGCGCAGAGGGCGCCTCGAGCGGCACACGTACCTAGCGGCTGGTCGTAGTAGGGTGAGCCGTAGTCGGCCGGACCGAGCCCCAGCTGGTGCGGCCTGCGCGCGCCGCCAGGCCGTTCGGTCGGGTGGAACACGCGGAGCTCCGAGTCCGTGAACTCTGGACAGGGCTCCGTGTGGTCCAACGACGCCCTGCGGCGGGGGAAGGCCGTCAGTGGCGGCGAGTGCCGGCAGAGGCTCGCCGGAGAGAAGGGAGGGCCGTCGGTGTGGGAAGGGAGTGGGATGCAGCACGGAACGGGCGGCAACAGTCACCGCCGGACCCTTTTCTGTTAGATTCCTTTAATTTCCCTCCTACTCCCGTCTTCGAGATAATGCTCAGGCTCTTAGCATGCCGCATTTGCAGTCGTCTTTTACTCCACTCTCCTCGCAATTCAGACATCGCATTTGTATGGATAGAACCGTGCAGTTGGCGCGTCGCACCTCCCACGTTCATTGGGAGGGGCGACTGTACCTTGCGGATTGCGTCAAATGCGTGCTTATATCCATCAATACGCCATGTCGCATTGTGGAGAAAACGGGATCAAGGATGACTGCAGAGACGGCATATCAAAAGTTTAACCACTCTCTCGTGTTCCAATGGCATAATCTTGTGTTGCCAGTCTGACCATTTTAAGGTGTGTCTGCCCCTGCAGCTCATGGTGCCGCACCAGTATGGACGGACGGATCTATTTGCAACGCATCGGGTTTTCAGTTCACAGCTTCGCTGTAGCTTGTTTCATTTATCGATAACAGAACCCTCTGGGACTGTTCATTTTATCAATATGTCATTCACTGTTGACTACGGTCCCAAACTCCAAGAAATACAATGAATAGATAACAATGTTCACTATATTTCAGCAGACTGGCCCTCTTCTGGTAAGTTTTGAAAGTTGTAAGTTATGGCAAACCATAAGATATGATACGGTGCTTGATGTAAATCCGGAATGCGGAACGTTTATGGGGACACATAATGTGATTCTTTTTTTAAAAATACCGACGCATTTCAATAGGTTAGACCGTTTTAACCCCTCAGCTAGTTCGTTCATTGCGAAAAACAAGGGATTCGATGACAGAAATAGAGCGAACAGGTGACAATGAAGAAACGACATGAATGAACATGAGGGGGGAAGTCAGGCTCCCCCCCCCCCCCCGGCCGGGCGCGGGTAACAGCGCCATGAAACTATTCCTTTAGAATGTTTATTTTTTGCGTCTTGGATGTGCAGGTGAATTATGTAAAGTTATGCCAGAGTGCGTTTATTTTACGGAAAGCTTGGTCATGTATGTGTTGTCTGGAGAACGTGTCAAGAGGACGTCTAAAAACGGGATAGCGCCGTGTTTATCCTGACGTTCGGTTGAAAACCGCATGGATGGGTGGAGAGAGTTTTGAGAGAATGGAGTTGGTTTTGAAACCGAATGAAACTTGGCTTGCCCGGTGTACATACCCCAAAAAGGTCATCCTTGCATCGCATGAACAATTTCGACATAAGGGGGACATCAATCTGAAGTTTTTGGTAATGCATAAATAGTATGGGGACTGGTGGACCCATTTTGTTCCCCACGGCTAACCCCGATCATGAGGTTTTCGACGTAAATCACGGTGAGGCGAAACATCTGAATATTGCTTAAAACGTGCCGGAGCATATCAGGTATCACCGTGATGGCTTCATCTATAGGGATATTGGTGTGTGGTGATGACGCATCCATTGTGAATAGAAACGCACTTATGGGGAGTTTTGATAGATATTTTGATTTAAGCCTCGGAGGAATAATCTGGAACTGGTCAGATGGGTGGGCACAAAGTGAACGAGTTGGGTGATGACACGTGCCATTAAGAAGGATGGTTCTTCAGTTAAAGAGCAGCAGTTTGATTCCATGGGGCGTAAATGCATGCCTGGTTTATGATGTTTAGGGGATCGTACCATGCTCGTCATTTGGAATTTGTGCGGGAAAGGTGTTTGGCCTCCGTACTCTTACCAACTTCCTTATGGTAGATTGTACAGTAGTCGGAACGGCTGCTGTTGAACTCGCTGGTTTTGAACCCGCTCGATATGGACCTCAGTGCACCGCCTTTGTATACTTTTGTAAGTGCGTTTACACTGATTTATGTCGTCCTTTTATTGCCATCTGTTTGCTCTATTTCTGTCATTGAGTCAACTGTTTTTCGCAATGTATGAAATGTCTCCCAGGTTAAGATAGCCTAAGCTATTGAAATGCGTTCGTATTAACACACTTTCATATTCCCACAAACGTCCTACGTTCTGGACTTTCATTGAGCTTTGCATTATTTGTTATGGTTCACCATAAAATGCAAATATCAAAACTCACCAGAGGAGGACATGCCGGCGGAAATATTATGGACTTCGCGACCCATTTAGTGTATTTCTTAGAGTTTGAGACTGCAGTCAACAGTGTACGGCATAATGTAGCTTGTTCCGTGTGCCATCACAGCCACAATGTCACAGTTGCCTTCGGCCCAAGCCGCGTAACGCTCATCGTTTGCACTGGCGCGTACATGCTGCACGCAGAGGCCCATTTTTTGCACCGAGCGTTGAACGCCCACTCGCCTGTACCTCTATATACCGTGTGGCGTGCACCCCATACCTGTCACGGGGCGGCGCCCACCTTTCGCAGTGGAAGTCGTTCTCCCTCGTGCGCAGCATGGGCACGCCGCGCATCTCCTGAGGGTAGTAGCAGATGGGCTCGTGCAAGTGGCGGCCGGCCGGCGGGTGGCGCGCGCGTAGGTCACCCAGCCACTCGCGCAGCCACTGGATCTCGCAGTCGCACCGCAGCGGGTTACCTGAGAACGACGTGGACAGCATTAGAAAGAGAATATTTTGCATTTTGATGAAGTTTTGCACTGAAACGACCATTTTGTAGACCATTTGGCAGAGTTCACAGCTCTGTCTCTCTTAAGGCCCAAACCCCTTTAGCTCTGATCTAGACGCCCGCGAAGATGGGCAGACTATTTCGTGCAGTCTGTTTCAAGGTCACCCAGGCATTCTTGACGCTATAATAACGTCATTAAAATCTTGCAATTACATTGGTCATGCGGCGAAAAAAGGAGAAATGAATTGTTGAGTCATTCATGTATGGTGTTCGTGAGCACGATTTCCAGATACAACGGCAGTCAATTGACCCTGAATCGATGTTGTGCAAGATATGATGGCACATTCAAAGAATGACGTATTGAGGAGCATATTTACAAGATTGAGAAAATGTATCGTCTTTAGTGGTGTTTTCCATTCAAAAGCATGCCAATAGCTAGAGTTTAGTTTATTTCATGATATCTGATGCTTCGATTTCTTCAAATGTGGAACATTTCCTTAAAAGGACGTATCCCACCTTTTTTGTACTTTTCACTATTTGTTACATTAGATGCGCACAATTTGATCAGTGATGCCAGTTTTCTCGGGATCCTAAAAGGCTCAGTATTTCAGTCTGAATTAGCCTACCTTGCGGGAGAAGTCTATTTTGAATCTATTCTCACTTCTATGAAAATCTTACGTTTTATTTGTCTTATTTTTATCATATCTGAGAACCATGTTTCATCATATCTAATGCTTGCTTCAACATTTTCGAATTTGGAACCTTGCCTCGGAGGAAACTGGCATGGTTGTGAATGTTGTAGGTGGTGCCCGTGTTCCGATATGTCCAGACTTCACCGGTGGTGTTCTCTGTTAGGGCAATCCATTTACCCACAACACTTCTGGTAGATCTGCCACAGCAACTGATTTTTTCACGTAAAACTAGGAAAGTTGTCAACGGAACGGGAGACGAAGCCTACCATCAACCATCACCGTCTCTACCATCAAATCGATCCGACGCTAGTGTTCAATTGCACTCGTTCTCTCAAGACGCAGCGTATGCACTCACTGGCTGTCCCTACGCTCAGCCCGCTTGTGCACACTGTCACTGGGCGGACCCTGAGTCCCGCCCCACTGACCTGAGCCGACCTTGAGCCCACCCCACTGACCTGAGTCGACCTTGAGCCACCCCACCGACCTGAGTCGACCTTGAGCCCACCCCACCGACCTGAGCCGACCTTGAGCCAATCCCACCGACCTGAGCCAACCTTGAGCTCATCCCACTGACTTGAGCCGACCTCGAGCCCACCCTACTGACCTGAGACGTCCAGCTGGTGGAGCACGGTCCGGACGCGCCGGAACAGCGGCTTGCGCAGCGAGCGGATCCGGTTGTTCTGCAGGTACACGGCGTCCATGTTCCGCTGGCCAGCGAATGCGTCGTCGTGGATGCGACACATGCCGTTGTCGTTCAGCTGCAACAGCCACTAGGCGTCACAGCGAGCACCGGAGACGCGGGAACGGCACCGTGCTGTGCCGTCAGTTGCTACCGGATTCTGGAGCATGGCCGACGCTGGTAATGACAGCATGCTGCCATGTGCAACCGCGCCATGCAGCACTCTGCGCGAACTCACGCAAATATACACACGTATGTGATGTTACAGCTGGTGACGTTCTGTTAGGCACAGCTGGCTATATGGACCAGCGCATGGTATTGCAACTGGTGACGTTCTGTTAGGCGCAGCTGGCTATATGGACCAGCGCATGGTATTGCAACTGGTGACGTTCTGTTAGGCACGGCTGGCTATATGGACCAGCGCATGGTATTGCAACTGGGGAGGTTCTGTTGGATGCAGCTGGCTATATGGACCAGCACATGGTATTGCAACTGGTGACGTTCTGTTAGGCGCGGCTGGCTATATGGACCAGTGCATGGTATTGCAACTGGTGACGTTCTGTTAGGCGCAGCTGGCTCTACAGACCAGTGGGTAGCAGTGCGGTGTTAAATGGGAAAATAAAACAAATCGATTAAGCGAGGAGAATTGCGGAGACTCAGCGATGTGGTTCTGTTACCGGCATCAGGAATATTAGGTTTGTTGAATGCATCGAAAACTAGTGACATTCTTGGTACCAGTCAAACCGCCGAGTGGCACCCAATGCTACTTGTCTTTTTAAAAAGGGAGCGCGACACAGTCGTCCCGCCCTTTGTAGAGAGCGCCAGTGACTGCATGGGCCGTATCACACAGCGTTCAGAGGCTATGGTGCTCAATGCAACTGGTGCCGATACCGACTATTTTACATCTTATACTCTAGTGAGTGTATTTGGATTACGCCGTGTAGGATGCCTCCCGAGACGTCTGTGCAAGTGGTTGGACACGTCTGGGAACGCAGTTCTTAACTTATGTGTCGCCTGTAAAAAGTTGTAATTATTGCGACCACTCTTAAAATCAACCAGCATGTTCCACAGATAACCAGTGTTACTGCGTACCAGCGTGTGCTGGCTGGATAGATAAAAGGTGAGGGTGGAAAGATAGAGGGCGTCGTCCGGGATCGTTACTCCAGAGAGCGTGCGGGACTGCTGCGGCCCGATCTGTCATGCCGGGGCCACGCGCGGGCCTCTGCACGTCCCGGGTCCCACTGATTCCGGAGCAGCGCGGGGTGCCGTTCCGGCCTGGGGCGCGGCCGCGCGCGTCGAATATGTCAGGCGACACGGCGTCGGGTGCCATCGCTTCCGGCCGGTCACGGTGCTGGCGGCGTGTCGCAGCGCACGCGGACGCCCGGCGAACCGGACCACCGCGCCGAGCCGAGCCGCGCCGCGCCGCGCCGCGCCACGCCACTCACCGCCGGCACCGCCACCTCCCGGCCAGGGACGCAAGCGTGCAAACCGGACTTCCCGCCCACTCTTAGGGCTGCTGACGTTTCGGTGCCGTGACGCTCGAGGGGACTGTGGGGTTAATCATGAAGTGCATGCGTCTCTATATGAATAGTGGTGTTGCACCATTCTTGTAACTATCACTAAAGAAATAACGAATATTGGGAAAATGATGTGGAAGGTAATATCAGTACAGTAATGCTCAGAGGTGTTAATTTTTGTGACTTCTTGCGAGGGGGTCGGACCAAGAACTCCAGAACTTACCTCCCCCGATTTTTTCTCGCCGACTTTATCTTACTTAATTTTGGTGTACGGCAAAAAAGGCGTGTGGTTTCATTTTTTGTATAACTGATAACAAGTCTTTAATTTAAGCAGCCGAGTAGTCATGCAAGGGCGGATCCAGGGAGGCACTGGACGCACGCGTCTCTTGGGATCGACAAGTGAAGGCGCCCCTTTAGAGACCATCTTAGGGCGCCTAAGGCACTCTTCTGTGGTGACAATGGGAGGCGGTACGCATTTTAGGTTGTGGGGGACCGGGGCAGTCATGAAGAGTTAGCCATGAAGGACTTAGGTCATCCCCATATTCCAGAGCTTTTCACTTTGACCTCACAAACGATCGCGTGTATTTTGGCCTTGAGGTGTAAAGTTTATTGCATCGTTTATCCGCTCAGCTGTTACGATTTGTATCTGGTGGTGAGAGCAGCCCCGACTATTTGTTTCGAGAGGAAAGAGGGTCCTAGTGTTGGTAGGTGCACAGCAATATACGAGACACAGGTGTCTCTATGGGGGGGGGGGGCATAAATCCGGCTGCATTAACGAATTTAGCTACCCGGGTTTGGGCCAGGCCATCAGGCCAAACCACACACCCCATTCTAATTTTATTTTGTCCCTGAATTAGACCCCCATCCCCATGCTAAGATGGTTTGCTTTCTTAAAGTTGCTGTGACATGCGCATGGTGCGCGAAAAAATGACCTCGATTTGGCGCCAAACCACATTTTTCAGCTCAGCTATTTGCCATGTCATTAAGAATTACATAGAACGGCACTTTCATTGGCGTATTGGTCATTAGAATGCTTTCATTACATACGTAACGAAATGCGCTGTGAAAAAACAACGAAAGGATGAGTCTACTGTAACCGTGATGTAGAAAACGCGTGTACTATTGATAAGACTTTCACATGCCTACCAATTTTTAATACGCAGTCGGGCCGGGTATCAATGGGAGCCCTTCCCCTTTCGAAGGTTTTCCAAAAATAACTTCTGGCCGATGCGGCGTAGCCGTTCGAGAGTTGATAGCTGTACAACTACATACAAAATTGTACGTTTCTATGGGGAGGTAAACATACGGCTACATTAACAACAAAACTATGGCCACGACGAAAGTTTTTGGGCGCAACGCCACGCCAAACTTTGCATAGCTGTAGACAACTGAATAACGGATATCTAGGTGTAGAAAGCTAGATGCACATGGTCAGGTTGTGACCTATGGGAGGTCGAAGGTACGCCATGACTATCAGCAAAGACAATTTGTGTGGAGTCATGCAAGGTGATGCGAAGACAAGATGTTAAAGTGAGTATCCCGCCTTTTTTACTTTCCACTCATTGTTACATCACACGCATCCCATTTCATTGGTTACACCAGTTTTCTCGCAATTTTTCTAAATACCTTAGAACTTCGATTTAAACAAGCTGACCATGCGGGAAAAATCTCCTTTGAGTCCATGCTGACCAATATGAAACTACCACACTTCATTTGCCGTGCTTTTTCCAATGTATGTGTCCTGTTATGTTTAAAACACACGATCGTTTCAAAACGTGTGTGTAATATATGTTTCAAAGGCTTGAAACACTCCGTTGAGACAAAAAGGCGTGCGAGCATTAAGGTAGTATCCCACGAATTCAACGAAACGTTTTACCATGGGTTTGATTTATCCCCTTTGGCGTTTACCACAGCGCTTCTTTTCAAGGCGCGCTTTGGCTTTGGGATGGAAGGAAGTATCACTTGATACATGTGACGCACTAGTTCAAACTTCCACCAACGAACTTCTCGGCAACCGGCCCTCGCCACCCGTTGGGCCAATCGCAAACGTTCTCTTGTTCGCACAAGTAAAGGTGTGCACGGTCCTTGTCATGACGACGGTGGTCATAACCGTAGGGAAGAAGCGCGTTGCTGTTGAAAAATTTTTGCGACACAATATGGACCAAATTTTTTTAATCGATGTCTTTTTATGTCGTGACGGTGTTGTCGCTCCAATGCTATTATTGGACGTAACTAGCCCTGAGCTTTCACTACAGCATATCTTGGAAATATACCCCGACGGTGGGACACTCCCTTTACACCAAGCAACACATCTCTGACATGGCTTCTCAGACAAGCCAACTGGGGTTAGGATAGCGACCAACTCCATTGAACTAGGGTCCGTATGAAGGTCGGACCATGGTCAAAACCAAGCTTTTTTACTGAAGAACGCGCTGTAAGGGGTGGTATTTGATGCTCTTCGAACTTCTTGATCACAGGGGCGTCAATAGGCATGTTATCTGGATCGCTTGCAGGCAAGAAGCGACCACTGACCTAATATGACCGATATCAACCCTTTTTCACGTGCGGAGCAGCCTTTCCGACTGGCATGATCTGAAATGCGTACTTGGTATGTAGGGTTAAGGCGGTTGCATGAAGAGGTCCGGAGATACTGCGAATATCGATCTGGAATTTGACCTTATTTGGTCCAAACGTCAGCGGTTATTTGACCTAGTCTATCTCAAAATTTGGTGCAAGTGAGTTCACACACAGGCCCTCCTACCTGGTGAATTTAGTGTTTCTGGTTCTCTTGTTTTTTATCTTATGTGTCAAATTGAGCGCCTCCCCTACCGAGCGCGTCGCAAGCACCCGCGCGACTACTCAATTGTTGCGCGTCTGAGAACTTCGTCTTGTTGTGCGTCTAAGCACAACATACACTTTTCCTTCACAGTGTGAAATTTTTATCGGTGAACCGAATTTGTTGAATTCTCTGGAAACCAACGATAATACAGCCAAGCATTTTAAAGCATGAGGACCACAGGATTCCAGGTGAAATCCAAACTTTCCTGTCCTTTTGCCGTCAGAAGTGTAAGATCATTGTTTGTGTAACGATGTATAACAAATATAAACGATGCATGTTAAATTTCACGCTTAGTCACCCATACACCCACTAACTGCACAAAACTGTTCCAAGCCTGACAGAAAGGTTTGGATACACATGACTAGTGAGGATTCTTCTCCAAGCCTGTCAAAGCTTCCTCATTATGGCCGCCAGGCGTCGCGACGGCGAGTGCCGGGCCAATGCGGGTTAGGAACGGCAGGCGCTGATTAGTTGTAGGTGGCGGGTTTTAGCATGCGACTCACCTTAAGCGTTTGGAGGTCAGCGAGTGACCTGAAGGTTCCGTCGTTGACCTCCAGGATGCGGTTGTGACTGAGGTCGATCGTTCGAAGCCCCCGCAAACGCTGAAACGTTCCTCTGGGCAAGGTGGCCAGCTGATTGGCTGACAGGTTGTACGACCGCAGTGCCGGTAGATTTTCGTAGGCCTCGTCTGACAGGTGCGTCAGCTGGTTCTCCTGCAGGTTTATTCTCTCCAGACCGTTGAGATTGACGAAGGTGGCCTCCTTCAGCTGCCGCAGGTTGTTGTTGTTGAGGAATATCGCCTTCAGCTGCTGGTCGCCACGGAAGGAGCCCGGGTCCATCTCGACCATCGCGTTGTAGCTGAGGTCCAGCTGTCTCAGCGATGGCATGTTGAGGAACGTGTTGCTCTTGATGTGCTCCACATAGTTGTGGTGCATCTCCAGGTGCTCCAGTGAAGGCGTGTTCTCGAACGTCGTAGACGAGAGGAAACGGATGTTGTTGTAACTGGCGTCCAGATACCTGATAGATGGAAGTTGGTTGACCATGTTATCAAACTCCACCAGAGTATTGTTCCTGAGATCCAGCGTCTCCAAGTGGTTTAGGTTATGGAACGTCTTCGGCGGGATGGTGGTGAGAAGGTTGTTGCTGATGTTGACCACCCGCAGCTCCTGGTTACCCTCGAATAGCTCCAGTGGGATAGTCTTCAGGAAATTGCCACTGAGCTCCACCGACCGGAGGTCACTCATGGTTTTCAGGATGCTCGGGTCAAGTTTTGAGAGCATGTTGAAACCAAAGTCCAGCTCGCGCAGCTTCGTCAGCTTCTGCAGGGACTGCGCCGGGAGATCGCGCAGCATGTTCTGTTTCATCCTGAGCTCGGAGAGTCCGCGCAGTTCTGACAATGAAGCGGCGGGGAACGTCGCGATGAAATTGTATGAGAGGTCGAGGACTTTAAGCACGTTCCCCACTGGTAAAGAATTCGGCTGAATATCAGCGATTTTGTTGAATTTCATTCTGAGATCTTGGAGGTTTTCTGCACTGGAGAATTGTCCTGTTTCTACGGACACTAGCTCATTAAAGCTCAAGTCCACCTGACGCAGCTCCTTGAGATTCTTGAAAGTCATCGGGTATATCTTCGGCAGCGAGTTGAACGACAGATTCAGGAACTTGAGTTTGGCCGTTCCCACGAAGGCATTCTCATCCACCACGTTGATGATGTTGTAGCTGAAGTCGGCGTGCTCCAGCTGCGTGACATTGCGAAGAACGCTGGCGTGCAGGTGGGTCATGTCGTTGAAGGAGAGGTCAAGGAGGGTCAGCTTGGGCAGGTTCCACCAGTCGCTGCCGCCCTGCTCCATCACCAGGAAGTTATGGTGCATGTGCAGCTCCCGCAAGTCAGGCATGTTCTTGAAGCCGTTCCTGTCCACCTGTTTGATGTTGTTGTGGTTCAGATACAAGATCTCCAGCGCAGGATGTGCGAAGGTGTTGCCTGGTACAGACTCGATCAAGTTCATGCTCAGATCCAACACTCGCAGATTCGGCAGCATCCGTAATACTGCCGCACTTCCTGTTAGATCGGTGATGTTGTTCTGCTTCAGCAATAGCTGCTCCAGGCTTTCCATGCTGAAAAATGCGTCCTTTTTCAGCGAGTTGACATAATTGTTGGTAAGGTCCAACCGTTTGAGACGCGGAAGAACGTGGAACGCGTCCTGATCCACCTTGGTGATGAAATTCTGCCTCAAGTTGAGAATTTCCATATTTTTCAGGTCAACGAACGTACCCGTCTTGACGTACTCGATCAGGTTGCCACTGAGGTCAAGCCGCCGCAAGCTCTGGGCCTCTCTGGCCGCGATCGTCACCACGCTGGCGTCCCGCACGCCGTTCCCGGCGAATGATAGGTGATCCAGGTGCTGCGTGGGGAAGAAGGCGCGAGGGTGGATGTACTCGATGCTGTTGAAGCTGAAGTTGGCCACGCGCAGCATGGCCAGGCCGAGCAGCGAGTTCTCGCCGAGCGTGGCCGTCGGGTTGAAGGTGTAGTGCAGCACGCGCAGCTCGGGCGCACCGCGGAACGCCCGGCTTGGGATCTGGCCGATGCCCGTACTGTTAATACTCAGCAGTCGCAGCCGGTCGGCGCGCGCCAGCGACGGCAGCGTCTGCAGCGGCGTCTGCTCGATCAGCAGCGACTCTAGCACGTGCAGGTCGTCGAGCGCGTCGAAGGCGAACTTGTGCGCCGCCGGCTCGCGCAGCACCAGGTGCGTCAGCGTGTCCTCCAGCCCGTGGAAGGCGCCGCGGTCCACCATGGTGACGCCATTGTCGTCTAGCTCCAGCCGGAAGACGCTGACGCCGCTGAAGAGCCGGTGCGTCAGCGCCTCCAGCCGGTTGCGACGCAGGGTGAGCCGCTCCACGGTGCCGCGCCAGTGCGCTAGCGTGACCAGCGCGTTGTGCAGCTGGCTCGGGCTGGCGTTCTCACATCTGGGGGCGCGCGGGAGGGCAGGGTGAGTGCAACGCCCCGGAAAGACGGGGTGAGCAAGCCTCCCGGACGCAGGGTGGAGATAAGCACGCCGCCTGAGAAGGTGGGACCTATCCCCATTTTCTCCAACTCGAAACATGGAGTGATATGATGGTTTGAAATTACCATGAAGAGAAATACATGCAACGCGCACAGCTGCGAATTACTTTGCGATGCATCCCATTCTGCATTTCTTTCAACCTCCTGCATTGTTTGCCTATCCCGATAGTAGAGGCGTAGCCAGAATTTCGCCGGGAAAAAGATCAAGTCCGGTCTTAGGGTGCCTTTTGCCTCCGTTTTCGTCGCTGTATGGGTCCGTTTTTTATTTGGAGAGCCGTTTGAGGTTTGAGATCCTATTTTGATGCCATGGGAGCTCATTTTTATGTTAACACGCGTTCGGGTGCGGTCAAATTGACCCCCGGAATGTTTTTCCAGGATGGTTTCCGAACGGCGCGACGTAGTTGTGTCAAATTTTGCATAGCTGTAGGCAATTGAATAGCGGATCGGTCGCTGACCTACAGCAGGTTGAATTCAGGCCATGGATTCTGCGAGGTTAATTTCTAGGGAGTCGTTCAATCTGATGCACCAACGGAGTGTTGACGAAGCCATACATCTCTGATATACTTTCTTAGGCAACACAACAATTGAAGAATAAATTCCATTTATGTAAGGTCAGTTGTGAAGGTCAGACCGCGGTCAAAACCAGCTTGTTTCATTACTCTAGGGCTTGTTGTGTGAAGTAGTTTTTGGTGCTCATTTCGAGTTTATTGAGCACAGAAAGCACATTATGCATCGTCCATAGACTTCTCAATGGTAATAGTAGGTCACTTACCTAAAATGACACAGGTCAACATTTTTCTTTTAGGAACATACTGCCCAGCGTAATCTTTGTCGCTTTTTCAAATGCAAAACTTAAAGAGGTCTCGTATGATTTTGGTAATCATGACCTTCAAAGTGTTAGACAAGGTCAATAACCTTTAATGAGCATGTGACCTTTTGCTTAGAACGGGTATCTAGATTCTGGGAGCATTTTGGAGACCAGCCTGTATGTTGACTTTGTTTGACCTTATTTGACCCGAAGGTCATGACCTAGGAACCTCAAACTTTGACCTAAGTTAGTTTGGATACAGGTCAACACACCCTGTAAATTAAGTGTTTCTAGCTCTGTTACATACTGAGATTTCAGTGGGGATAAAACTGACCCCCACCCGAGGGAAGGGTATCCAACCGGCCACCCGGGCGCGTGTTAATGAAAGCCCTACAGCTGTCTTAAACTGCCGAAACGTACTGAGACCGTCGGTCCCAGTAAGGCCCGTCACCTACAAGGAGAAGGGGAGGGGGGGGGGGACAAGCGCCAAAAGCTCGCCGTTGGCTACACCACTGCCTGATTTACGTTCATCTGCATAGCTATGCTTGCTAATAGACGACCTTCTTCATTTCCTGGAAGCCCTCGGAGGCAGCTGCGCACTAGCCGATGCCCTGTTCCGCCCGGCTGACAGGCCACTCCTCAGCCAGTCCTCGGCACTCACGTCACGTAGACGGCCGTCTCCCGGGCAGTGCAGACGCAGGGCCGCAGGTCGCCGTCGATGGGGCAGGGGCGCGCGTGGCCGCCGGCCAGCGCCGCCGCCACCAGCAGCAGGCGGGCGCAGAGCATGCTGTCAGCGCCGCCTCTGCCGCTGCATGGCCCCGGCCGGCCGGGCGCACCTGGACGCGGCGCCACCACGCGCTGAAACGTAGGGGTCCTGGTGAGCGCGGCGCCGAGGACAGACAGCGCGGCACGACGGTGGAGTGCGCACAGTGCGGTAGAGGACCCATGACGTACTCACATACGTATGCAGGCCACGCCAACTGTCGTTGAAATGAGCATAGGTTATACACTTGTTTTCGTCATGTGAGGATGCCCGCCCCGACCGTGTTGCCACATCAGCTTTTTGCAAAGATCTTTCACCAGTGTTTGGCTCAGTGGTGGGTCTAGAGGGGGAGGGGGGGGGGCGAACTCGAGGCTTTCCTTAGGCCCGAAAGGTGGTCAGATCTAGCGGAACTAACGCGTTTTTTAACACCAAACGCAACAAATTTGATATTTTGTGCTCCCAGGCGGCGTGTGTGTTTACAGTGTTTCCCCGATACGTAGTGGAAGGAATGCCCCCCCCCCCCCCCCACCTCCTGATTCTTTCGAAGCTCCCGTCACAATTTTCGTGCCGTCCGTTCTGCTGTTCCCCGTTCGCGGCGCGGTCTCCGGCGGTGGCCAGTGCAGAGACATGGCGCCGAGCTACGCGCTGATTGCAGCGGCGTGCCAGCCAGACGACGGCCGCTGCCGCGACGGGCGAGCGCCGCTTGTGCAAGCCGGGCTCGGTCGTTGTGACGTCACGCTCTAGATGGCGCCCGCTCGGTGTGACGTCATCGAGGAACGGTCGCGCAGGCGACGTCCCGTTGAACAGTTAGCTGGCACTGGGTCAGGCTTGGTGACGGCCAGAACCCTTCGGCTGCGATCGGCCTGACGTCTGACCCAACCTGGCAGCCGAGACACGGTTGACACAGCGAAGCAAAATGTTGAGTTCTGCGCGGCTGCTGGCATCAGCAGTCCTTTGATCGTTCTAAGCGCTCACGCAATCGCCCGTTTCGGTCCGTGGCGCATCTGTCGGCTTTTGCAAGCCGGTTTCACGCCCCTGTGCGTGATTCTAGTCATTTGTCGGCGTCTGCGTTGGTCACTTCGAAAAACTACGGAGCGTATTATTTAGGTTGCATGCAATAATTCCATCGGTGAGTTTCGTGAGCGTCGCTACTATTTGTATGCCTTGCGGCTCTAGACTTGCCTTACATTTAATGGTGTGAGGTGACTCATTCGCATCAATTGTTACAACCACTGTATGCAGTCTGCCTTACTTCATTAACGGTATCCGGAATCCTACAAGTCGGTCGCACCTTCCGGCATATTGCGGCACAACATTCTCAATCGTGGCTCTCCAATAGCGCACCCTCGCTGTCCACACCTTCAGAACAAACTGCGGTAGCGTGCGTGGACAAAAGGACCTCCACCGCATAGTGAATACACGACAGCGATGTCCAAACTAGCCGAACAAAAGACCCGGGACACACACTGGTGAAAGGCTGTCCTGCCATGCATACGCTCCTAGCTGAGCCAACACCTTGTCACGTGAAAGTGTTTTATCCCGCTCCAGTACCCCGACCGGCCAACCCAGCCCGATGCTAGCCAGCGATCTCCCCAGCGGAAGCCCCTCTATCGGGTCGGCCGCCAGGCTGGCGGTCTGACAGCCAGCTCCTCTGGGCAGCGGAGAGGCTACAGACGTCACGCGCCTCAGCCCACAACCCCAGACAGCCAGGGCGAGGTCCACGTCCAGCGATTCCGCCGGTCCACCCGGAGCTCCGGCCTTCACAGTCTGCGCGATCGTGCGTGGTCGACACGCGGTTGGCGTGCTGTTGATCAGAGCCATGGCGGCGAGACGCGTGCCGTCGATCAGGTTACAACGGTCCGCTGCGGAACAGCTCTCCTCGCGGCGTGTCACCTCGCGCCTGCGCCGCGGCCTCCTGTAAGCTACGCTACCCATGCAGGTGCTACACCGTTTCATTCCGCTTGCATACAAATCTGTTCACGAAACGGTGTTAGTCGCAAGGCGTGGTTCGGTTCGTTGAGTCAGGATTAGTGCGACGTTTTCGTCGACGCGATGTGAGCCATGCGATCATAAAACAACGGAGACCCCGCCGCTGCGGAACTGCGGCTACTGAAGCTGCCTTGGCCATTGTCAAGTCGTTCCTGTAGTTCTCATGACGTCTATGTTGCACCGTGAGTATAATAGAGACCGGAGACCATGCAGTTTGGTTGGATGCTGCCCGATCCCTGTGCATAAAATACCGGACATCCAGTGCGAGATTCCATCTTTCAAGCATCGGGTTTGAACCCCTTAAGCCGTCTGATATCGGCCAGGGGAATATTTACTCCTGTTATCCAGTGTTGCCTGTGGATAGCAGGAGCGTCGCCTCCTGAAGTTGTTCTTGAGTACAGCCCTGTCGCATCACCAGTCACCTTCCGGCCATTCCTGCAGTACTGGCCGACGGAGGCCGGGCTGGCCCACCGTGTCCGGGGTCTGGCAGAGGCATGACCAGCTGTACCCGGCGCCTCGGGCCGCCGTGTCCCGGGTCTGGCAGAGGCATGTCCAGCTGAACCCGGCGCCTCGGGCCGCCGTGTCCCGGGTCTGGCAGAGGCATGGCCAGCTGTACCCGGCGCCTCGGGCCGCCGTGTCCCGGGTCTGGCAGAGGCATGACCAGCTGTGCCCGGCGCCTCGGGCCGCCGTGTCCCGGGTCTGGCAGAGGCATGGCCAGCTGAACCCGGCGCCTCGGGCCGCCGTGTCCCGGGTCTGGCAGAGGCATGGCCAGCTGAACCCGGCGCCTCGGGCCGCCGTGTCCCGGGTCTGGCAGAGGCATGCCCAGCTGTGCCCGGCGCCTCGGGCCGCGAACTACCATCAACCGCCGTGACCACCATCAGATAGCCCGTCCGTCATGAGCATCTGCCTATCAGGGGCGAACACACGAACAGCTGGCCGCGTGTCAGGCCGGCTCGGGGCGCCCTGGCCTCCACGATGAGAGGGCTTACTCGGCGGCGTGCCGAGGCGCACCACAGAACAAAGTCTCCATGCCGGATCTGAGCACTGCGCTGTGCAAAACTGTCAGGGCTTCATGAGCTCTTTATCGGCCAGCCTAAGCGTTCAGTAATTGTTTAGTCAAGTCAAGGCAAGCCGTGCGGGGTGGAACTCAAGGATACGCCCGGCGGCAACTGCGGAGGTAAAAGGGCCGTGTTGTTTGTTTTGTTGCCGTTGAGTGCCTCGTGCGCCCGCGAGTTTGCAACCATGTGAGGTGGCTTGAATTACCCTGAACAAGGCCGAGGGCTCCGGCAAGCAGTCATTACCAACACAGCAGGGTGGTTCGTACAGCCGCACGGTCCCCTCTACATGCTGTCTTCCCCACCGGAGCTTGCAATAGCATAAGGAGATTAAGCAGAGGTAGGTCGTACCAAGAAAACGTCATCAGAGATGGGCTTGAGCTGAGCGACTCCCCCGCTCTTCTCTCCGCGTCCTTTACAACGGCTTCCGTCTCCCGCTTTTGTTCCCGTCGGTTTTCATCCCCTTGGCTCTCTCACCTATCCACTTTCCCCTCTCTCCCAATGGTTTCCTAATTCAAGATCATAAGCTGCTTCGGAACAGGCTGCAAGGACATTAAGCTGCCCTTGAAACTACGTTAAACTGTATGCTAGTAAGACGCCCATGCGATGCTCTGGCGACATGGCACCAGCGAAGCGACAAGACATTCGAGAGGTATCCATTGTCATATTTGCGATGCCAACAGACGCCTTGGGCTAGGGTATTGGATACTGGGTAGAACGAAGTCCAGTACACAAAAATGCAGTGTGTAACTAGAAATACACTAGAGGCGCAATGTAGGCTAGATTTCTAGTCTGTACGAAATATCTGGCAGCCGGTAACTGACTGGTAACTGAAGCGTGGCGCAGGTACCACGCTTGCCGTACATTTACAATTCTAATTGAAGTTGTGGCCCGATTGTTGCAAGAGATTCTCAAGGAGTTGATCACTACATTACACTGACAGCATGTATCGGCTGAAAGGAAACAATTTGGTACATTTCATAGGGGACTGGTAGTATAGTTTCAAGACGCCGCAGATTTCGACACGCATCCTTTCGATTCAGGATCCGGCATGTTACAGGCTGAGCTACTGAGACCACTGGAAGAGCTGTGAAAGTCGGGAATTTCACGGCGTACCGCGCACGAAAATTTGGCTCGGTAAGCCGTGGTAGTTTTGCTTCTCTAGACAAGCAATAAGTAATGGATCGGCTCAAGGCAATTCAACAATATTTCATTTCGTACCAGGTTCATCGCAGTTGGCTTGGTAGACCTCGACGAACAGCACTGTGAAAAGCAGGCCTTTAACACGTAAGCCCCATGGGCAAGGAGGAAAAGTACGCCGAAGAGTGGTTGTACTACCAACGTACTTCCGTGGGGTCTGACCTTGGGCGGCGCCGGACGGGCGAGGCGATAACGGATGTGGAAGTTGTGGGCTGCTATGTGGATGTTGGAAAAGTTAATCCAGTGAAGCCAGACACCCTCGGCAACCGACATCAACCGATGCCGACAGCTGACAGCTCACAGGTGTGTCGTGAAATCTACTTTGATGAAAAGTAGGTAGCACGGACAGTTAACAAGAGGTTTACGCATGCAACATTTACGCGCGGATCCACAAATGATTTGTTCACAGCCCAATGGCTGGCCGAGTGGACTGGGTCCGGGCAGGCTTGGTAACTTCAATCCAGGGCATGGACAAATTCGCAGTGATTAAGGGTTGTAATTGTGACTCGCAGGGCCACATGGCTGTGTCGTGTCATGGCTCAACCTCCATCAGTGAAGACCACAGTGTTTTGAGTTTGAGATCGGTTTCTTGACAAGGAGGAAGGGGAGGAAGGCACAAGGATGGCAAAGCGACCTACCAAAAAAAAATCGCCGGATGCTACCCATTTGCTGATTAGACCACGCTTTTATTGGATATTTTTTAT